ACTACTATAACAGTTATGTGCCGTTACCAGACCTACGTATACTACTATAACAGTTATGTGCCGTTACCAGACCTACGTATACTACTATAACAGCTATGTGCCGTTACCAGACCTACATATACTACTATAACAGTTATGTACCGTTACCAGACCTACGTACACTATAATAAGGCTATTTAATATGTTTATCTAACACAAGTTTGTTTATAATTGTTGGGAGGACATCATGTTGACAGAGTTAAGAGTTACATGACTATCAACAGTTTGGGGTTGGAGATAAAAAAAAAAAATTAACAGCCATATTATATTCGTGTCTATTAAGCCTACACGATGGACATAAGATTTCAGTTTCAAATCAAGGAAAGTTGTGGAGAATCTTGATGACGTCATCTAATCAATGATTCATGTTTTATTAGACATCATTGAATTACTGAAACGACATCAACGATTTCCCGATAACAATGTGACGTCATTAAATTTAACCGAATTAGAATGTTGCTACAAATGTGTGTGTTATACAGAGCCTGGGAAGGGACATGATGAAAAAAATAAACGATCGAAATCATGGATAACAAAAATGATATATTACAAAATTAAAATCATGAATTACTGCTCCGAGATCATGGATTACTATACTTCGATCACAGATTACTTAACTGAGAACATAGATTACTAAAGAAAGATCATGGATTACTAAACTGAGACCAGGTATTAGTAAACTGGGATCACAGATAACTAAACCAAGATCAAGGATTACTACACTGAGATCACAGATTATTACACCAAGAGTATGGATAATTAAACTGAGATCACGGGTTACTAAACCAAGATCACAGATTACTAAACAAAGATCATGGATTACTTAACTGAGATCACAGATTACTACGACACGATCACGGATTACTAAACCAAGATCATGGATTACTAAATTAATATGTCAGATTACTACATCATGGATTACTAAACCAAGATCACGGATTACTACATCAAGAGCATGGATAACAAAACTGAGAACATGGATTACTAAACTGAGATCACAGATTACCAAACTACTTAGCCAAGATCACAGACTACTACACTGAGATCACGGATTACTAAACTGAGATCACAGACTACTTAATTGAGATCACAGATTACTTAATCGAGATCATGGATTACTAAACTGAGATCACAGATTACTAAACTGATATCACAGATTACTAAACTGAGATCACAGATTACTTAATTGAGATCACAGATTACTTAATCGACATCATGGATTACTAAACTGAGATTACAGATTACGTTACAGAGATTAAATTGAATTGTATTATTTGTTTGTGTTGGCAATAAATGTCAATAAATGTCAATAAACTACTGCAATGCGAGTTTATAAAGTTATTCTTCAGTGATAAGTCGACGGCCAACTTGAGAAAAGCAGTTAAACTACAATCATCTATGTGCCATTCCCAAAACTTATCAATATTGTCAGTCCTCTGGTAACATTGTACAAATACAGCTTAAACTAAAATACTATTGAAGAGATTTAATTGGAATCTTACTGACATCACCCTGACTGAATTTTGATATTTATCCGGGCAATCAGATATCCAAGATGGTCACTCTGGACTCTGATTTGCTGATAATTTTTTGACATTTTTATTTTACAAAATGGTCTTACTTCTTGGGCCAATCCAAAATATTCAAAATGGCCACCATGGGCTCTGTAATGGATCAATGTTTAGTTGGTGTTGGATCAGCCAGTGAAAGCACTACCTGTCGAGTGATGTATCTTTTCTAAAACCTTAAACACAAAATCTTGTGTATTTATGGCGAGCCCCGGACAGGGGGTTGAATGTCTATATGAATGGGACAGTGGGATCTTCTATGAAAAGAACTATCACCGGGTAACGCAGGAAAAGACTATTCTGTCGGGAACGTATCTAAATACGACGGGGAACATCATTAAATTGCAGTTGAAGGCATCACTTAGGTTGATATTATTTTAATTTTGTGAAATGTGTACAAACTCTCGGAACCCAACGATATTTTAATTATGCAACTTGGAAATCAGTCAAGCTTCAACCTTGCCGTTTTCAAAAAACACATTCACTCACACACTTGTCGTGGTCCACTTATAATCCATACACACAAGCAGAGTCAGAGGTGTTAAGTATGAGAGTCTTATTCAAATATATTTAAACAACCTGAGGTGGTCTGCTAATTTCCATGACCGGTACAAACATACCCAAAACAGATGTTCAAGGTCATTTGTGTATATGTAAATGCAAGCATGATGAGACTGGAAGATAATTTGTTTATCACAAAAAATATCTATAAGAGGCAAGATTCGGTTACTGATGCTGTTTTAGTGATGTACTTGGTAAAAAGAAAATCATTCAAATTAGTACATCAATTCAATTCAAATTTATTAATTAATTCAAAATAAATCAATAATTAACACTAATTAAATTATATATTTATTCATATTTGACAGGTATTAATGTTACCGAGATCAATGATTGATGAGATTTTGTACAGTAATAGCAAAATTGATGTCGTTTGATGTTGTTAGATTGCATTGAATTGGCTAAGGTGTAAATCGGGCCTGTTGTCCTGGTGGTGACTTGAAGTAAAGCAGCCATTTCAGTGATCCATGATCTTTTATAATGATGAATTGTCTGTCAAGTAAATATTGTTTAAACTGTTCAATAAATGTTACAATGGCTAGGAGCTCATATCTCGTTACACGGTACCACATTTGAGCTGGCTCCAACCTTTTGCTTGCACATTGACACAACTTGTTCCTCCCCATGCTGATCCTGAGACAGAACTGCTGCATCTGTATCAAGAATGAAAGTTCCCTCTCCAAAGTTTCCGTTGTGTGCAACAAGAAAAACAGGGTGAAACTGTTCTAACCACTCGCAGAACTTGATGATTGCAGAATGAATGGTCGCTGGTTGAACTTGTGTACCATTCACAGTCATGCTGCCAGAACCATTCACAACAATTCCTGTTATCTGTTGTGCAGTAAGAGGCGCCTTAGGAAGAACATAGGTGTTGAATTCTCTGCCAGATTGAAGGTCAACCGCTGCTATCTGTGTAGGATGGGGCATCAGTCTCCCACGAACTAAAAAGAAAAAAAACATTTTATAGAAAACAATAAACTAAACACAAAAATCATATTTGTAAGAGGATATAGTGCACAATATTCAATCATCCTTAATAATGGATAAAATTGTATCAGAGCGGCCTGTCTTGATGTGTACAAACTAAACTTATTATGAAATGGGCATCAGAAGAAGGTACCGTATTTTACCGCCAATACCCCCCCCCCTCCTGAGAAAAAAAATGGGCCAAAAGTTGGGAGGGGGCTTAATTGCGAGCAACCCCCCTGTACTTGAGTCTGTTTATCATGATCCCCAAACCAAAGTAAATAACACATTTTCAAAATAATAACAAGCTGTTCAGAAAATTATATACTTTCTTTTCCCTGCATAATAACAGGATCATATGGTAAAATGAAAACACATGTCCAGTATCAAATGTAAAATTTGAATTACTCAGATCAGCTGTTTCCAAGTCAAATGATATAAATGTAGGTTCTTCACTTGATGTCAGTTTGACAGCTTTGAAATGACCACGTGGAACAGCATCAGGTAAACTTCTCAATGTCAACATTGGCTTCATGACCAACGTCTATAAAATGAAGTAAAGAATAAAAAAAAACACTTCACGTAAAATGTGAATTACTCATCAACAGACACATATACAAGACAATATTATGGTTAGGTTTACAACCAGATTGTTCAGGTTG